CTTGCAAAAGTAAAATGTTCAAATCTGAACACAATATACAGTCTTAATCCTATTATCTTATCTTACTACATCCCACCCATGAATATGTATTTTAGTAACTTGCACTTTAATTGAACTGTATACTAAAATGTTTCATAGTAACATGCACTTTTTATTTGAACTGTATATCAATATGCAAGATATATGATTGTATTGTCCAGGACCACAGGTGGAAAGTAGCATGGTGCTAAATCTGGTGCAGCCATCTTTTTAATGCAACTACACATTGGGCCTCATTCACGAACGGTTCTTAGGAACAGATTTGTACGTAAATCCTACTTACGCGGTTTTTACGAAGAAAGTGGCATTCACGAATATTTCTCGTAACCAGAATATCTCTTGGGCAAGTACAAATCCTACGAGTCCTCAGGAGCACTCGTACGCATTCAGTGCCGACATGTTCACACGCCGGGGTTGTCCTCTTTGGTGAAGTTGAATAAAAATACAACATTCCAGTGATATGTCCGTCATATCGATGTATGTATTTATTTATTTGTAGTAATCTTTATTAGTAATCTTTATTTATATACCGCCTTTTTCACTGCAGATCTGGCCTACTTTTTAATTCATTTTGAAATGAAATGTGCCAACGCTTTATCAAATACATTGGAAATCTTGCCGTGTATTAGTGACCCCTTCCTATTTATAGGGGGCATTTCTTTATCCACGGGCCACAGAACAACGGCATATATACTGCTGCTGCAGGAGGTTACTGGGTCCGCGCTGAGTCTCTGCGCTGGTCTCTCCTATGGATCTATACGGGTCTGCACTGGTCTCTCCCATGGATCTATACGGGTCTGCACTGGTCTCTCCCATGGATCTATACGGGTCTGCGCTGGTCTCTCCCATGGATCTATACGGGTCTGCACTGGTCTCTCCATACGGGTCCGTGCTGCATGCTCCTGGATCCATACGGGTCCGCGCTGGTCTCTCAAGTCTGGTCTATGCGGTCTCTCTTCGGTCCGCGCTGGTCTCTGCGCACCGGTCTCTCCAGTCAGGTGTCTCCAGTCTATGCGGTCTCTCCTATAGGTCCGCGCTGGTCTCTGCGCACCGGTCTCTCCAGTCAGGTGTCTCCAGTCTATGCGGTCTCTCCTATAGGTCCGCGCTGGTCTCTGCGCACCGGTCTCTCCAGTCAGGTGTCTCCAGTCTATGCGGTCTCTCCTGTCCGCGCTGGTTTCTGTGTGCTGGTCACTCCAGTCTCTCCTCGGGTCTGCATTGGTCTCAGCGCTGGTCCGCGCTGGATCTCCTCCCAGGGTCCAAAATATTTTGAGATTAATCTCAAAACATTTTGAGATTCATCTTTAAAATAATACATAATATATTTTTAAATTAAGCTCATAACATTTTGAGATTAATCTCATCATATTCTTAGATTAATCTAATAATTTTGCTAGTTCGACTTTATTATCATAATATTTCGACTTTTAAGTCAACATTTTATAACTTTATTCTCAGTCTGGTAAAAGAAGAAAAAAGGGTGACTCTTTTGCTCGTGTAAAGGCCTGTTGCTGTTTCCTCTGCCGTCTGCACACGGCCCTGCAGTCCCTTATATGGGCATTAATGGGCGGTTACTTATGCTAAGTACCTATGGTAATGAAGCACCTGGCACGCGCGCTGTACTTACGAGGAAATGGGATTCATCAATCTGAGAGAACAGCTGCGAACAATTCAGCGGCTTACGAGCGCGTTGATGAATCCCACGTGGGGACTTCTTAGAAATCTACTTAAGGACAACTTGAGAAGAAAGTTGAGTAGTTTCTTACGAAGTTATTCGTGAATGAGGCCCATTGTCCTTAATAAATCAAACTTCAAACTCCCTGTGAGTCACTATTTGACACTGTGCGCCAAGAGCTCATTTCCTACCTGAGAACAATGATCTAAAGTTGTGACAGCTACAACTCGTTAGATGGATGTAGCTCCATTTTTCTTTGAAATTAGAAAATCTCCGAAAGCCATAAATAATAGCTTTTTGTATAAACCTTTTGTCAAATTGTTGGGTTTCCTCAACGTGAGTCTTTGACAAGCGCTCTTGTCACTTTAAGACTAGCTGAAATCAATAGAAACAATCAATTGGGAGATGTGACAGAGTGAAAATTAGCTGGAGAGCCGAGCCGGGCGCTTCAGCTGCAGAGTAATTGGTTTGAGTGGAGTGGCACTGTGGAGCGCAGGCACAGTCTCCTTAGTCTGGCTTTAAATTGGCAGCTGTCATGTGACTCCAGAAACACCTCATTTCCACCGAATCCCTTTGGGCAAAATCTGCTCTGAACTTTCCAATCCAAGATGTGCCGCTCTCCAAAAACTCTCATTCCCCACGAGAGCGAGCGCCAGCATCTGCTCCTTGTTTAACTACGGCACTGGAGTAATGAGTCTTTGTTCAACCACACCGATATTGCGGTTTGGTCAGGAATGCATTGTAAGAAGGGCTCTACGGGGACAATAATGCAAACAATGGATATTATTATATATGTGTATAGCGTTTAGTCATTCAAAAGATGTCCATCCGTTTGTCCATCTTCATCCCCTTAATCAATTTGCACCCAATTCACAGATGGTTGTTCTGTCAGTGACAACACAGCAGGAGCTTCAGGCAAAGTGGGGATAGGTGTGTTGCTCCAGGACACAACGACAGCAGACATCAGTGGGAGTTGGTGGAGAAGGTCTTGTGGTGGGCTCAAACCCACGACCTTCAGGCTCATAAGCCAGTGCTCTATACCAACTGAGCTACTGTCGCCTTATTTAAACATTTATTGTTTTACATTTCTGAGTGAGAATCCACATTACTGCAAAAATTATGTATGTATTGTTATTATTTTTATTTATTTTTATTCACACAGATTATATGACATCTAACATGGCTTAGTGACAATATGGGTTTGTCTTGAAATACACAGGTATACTTTATGCATGAATACTTTAACTTGAACATTGAAGCTACTACTTACTTTTCAAATGACAACAAATGTAGTAGTTCAAATAGCTCTAAAACAGATTAACAATTAGAGTATACTTGGCCTTTTAGACATAACAGTGAAATGTCGTGGACCACTCAGCAATCAGTCCTTTACCCCCACAGCGTCACATTTGTGATTTTTATTTTTTAAAGTGAAGTAACCGACCTTCAAAGTGGCATAAGGTAGGATTCTAGAATGTCAGATATCATAGGGACTCAATTCTAGATGGAGCTCAGTGCCATTATAGAATTCATCCACAGAGGAGAGGAGTTTTTCAACGGCTTATAAGGACCAAATATAAATTGTGTCTCAAGGACCTTGAAGAGAAAGAATATTGTATATAGAACTGTGACTTTATATGAATAAATAAGTGGGTAAGTAATCTTTATGTATATAGTGCAATTCGTCGACCAAGGTGACAAGGTGCTTCTCAATGTTTTGGAGCACAGATATGTTTCCTTTCACTCCACACACGGAGATGACAGAAGCAAGAGGATAAACATGTCCATCACCATCCATTCACTTACTCAATGAATGTGAAATGAAAAAAAGAAAAGAAACAATCCATGACGAATGAGTTGTAACTATTACTCGGTCAAGCCTTGAACATGGACAATATATGGACAGTACATGGGCTTAAACAATTTTATCCAACCTCTCCTCACCGACCATCTGCCCCCCCCCCCCAACCTGGGGAGAGAGGCGTGGCAATCAGAGCTGCCACCCACATCAAATATTACCGGGCCCTCGACAAAGTAGGGCCTTGGTGTTTCAGTGGGGGCATTGGGCAATGTGGGGTTAGGTGTCTTGCCCAGGGAGACAACTACAGCAGACTTCAGGGGGAGCAGGTTCAGAGACCAATGCTCTACCAACTGAGCCAGTGTCGCCGATTTCACTATACACTATTTTACTTTGCAATTTAGCACCTGGATTGAGAATAATAAGTGCTGTAAAAGTGAGTTTTAATTGACACTCCTGATCCAGAGCAACGGTACTGTACTTACTACTACTGTAAGTGCACTTTTAACAAATCCAGTTTTCTGTTGCGTATTCTGGATTCCCCTCTGCAGGACAGACAGGTGTGGCAGTAAAACAGGTTGTTAGAAAAAAGAGCACTTGTGTGTGTCAGACGGTGCTGCTAAAATGAGTGCTCTTCTTGGGAGATACAAATGTGCACGGTCTTTCTTCAGTGTCTGTAAATAGTGTTTGTAGAGAGATACAGAACGGTGTTTCCTAACACAGCTTCAAGGATTCTTTGGCTTTTCCCTGCCACCCTCCACCCACGTCCAACGAGAATATAAGATGTAGAATTAAATGTGTAGTCAAATGTAGATGCTCTGGTTTTTCATGAATTGTTCCAAAATGACATTCTTCTTCTGTAACTGAAGAACCGAATCTGACTGGAGAAATTCCCACAAAAAAGTTTCAAAAGCAGAAAATACCACTTTCCACAATGTTGTTGGTCTGGTGCAACAAATTGTTTTATGGATGTGAAACCACATGTGTCCACAAGTCAGTTTACGGATTTTGAAACAGATCTCTGAGGCATCTTGGTCCGGCTAAAGTTTACTTTTGGTCTGTGAAGGGTGCTATATAAACGTAAACTTCACTTACTTACGTGTCCATTGTCCAAGGATTTATCATAGCGTATATTTGAGTTGGGGAGACATTGCGGCTTGTTTGGCTTGTTTGTGTCAGATGCTTCTCGTATTAGCGTGGATAGAGCTAAGATTTAACTCAAGGTCTGTCAGAATTATGCCGTAAAAGCTGGACTTGTTTCATGAATACATTTTGAACAAGAGTCTTGTTTAAACAACATCACATCTGTATATTTTACATTATGATTAACATAATGATATATTTTGTACCTGTGGATAATAGATCAAAATGTTCAAATCATATCAAACCTTTACTGAAAAAAACCCAATAATGTTTTACAGCAATATACACAGACAAATGTGTGACATTGCACCACAAATGTATTTGAATGAAACCAGGCTCAAATCTGAAATGTTCGTTTTCACCAAAGTTGTGAGAACAGTGATCAGAGCTACATGTGTCACATCACAGGCCACACAATTGATTGATGGATTGTAATTAAATAGACGTCATTAGATCACTTATTTGTGGCCCCTTTAATGTTTTGTGATTCCAAAAGTTTCATCTTGAACAGTTTCATCAGGACGTGTATGTAGTTCCTTGGCATGACCAGCCCAATCGTCTTTTTCACATTGATCCATCTCTGTTTCAGGTGAACAGCCGCGACTATTCCAAGGTTGAGCATGAGGGCGCGGTGGTGGAGGCCCTCAGGAGAGATCCCATCGTCGTGCAGGTGTTGCGGCGCCCCCCGTCCCACTCGGCGGTGCCCCTGTCCCGCTGTGGATCCCCTCAGGACGTGTGCGTGGTGGACCGGTGTACGCAGACAGACATCACCTTTGAACACATCATGGCTCTGGCCAAACTGAGCCCGGCCACTCCACCTGTCCCAGACATCTGTCCTTTCCTGCTGTCTGACAGGTGAGGGCAAAGGAGGACACACACACACACACACACGCCACAATTACGTACTCATTAAGTCACGGTTTGTATTTTACCTTCAAAACATCTGCAACCTAAAATTATGAAAGTTCATGAAGTAGTCCAGGTCAGTCCTCATCATACAAACCAGACTCTCAGTCCAAATCTGTCGTTAACTGAAACTGTTGGTACTGTAACTGTTTTGGATTATCGCCGTGAATAGAGAACAGAACTCTCATAGGACCTTACCCACGTAGACAAGAATAAATTAGAACAGTAATAATCCTAGAAATGATGTGAAAAAGAATGGTTGATAAAGAACAGGTGTTGATGTTGATCAAATAGAAATAGCCATAATAACTGCTACTATAGTACACAAATATTTCAACATGCATTATCAAAGTATTCAATTGTCTTTGTTCCCAAAACACCTGCAACTTCTATCGCATGAACATGTAAATGAGTTCTGCCATTTCTGAAAAGAGCAACATGTTTTAGAGGAAAATAAAAATAAGCCATTACAAAAAACTCATTGGAAATGATTTTGTAATAGCTTACAAAAGCAATCAGACTCACTAATTACAATAGATAATATCATAAAGTTGTACGTGCTGTGCAAAATGTATTTCTAGGAGCTTGTAATCATGTAAGGGTGTGATCCCTGTCGTTTCTGCAACCATCCAACTGTGAAGCACACAAAGAAAGTTTGAGCAACGTCGCACCCACTAAAATTTACCAAACACACAAAAATAGCGTTACACATTTCTCTAAATAAAAGCAAATGCAAACATTAGATTTTTTTGAATAGAATTGAATGTATTGGTTGGCCATTAATCTGACACATCATGAATTAGCACATACGACTCTGAAGACCAGATTTATATTTTTTGTATTCTGTACAAGAAATGTGTTTAACATTTGGCGCTCAGACCCCGGCAGAGCACTCAGTGACGATTGCAGAAGGGGAAATGAAAATAGAGATTATGAGATGGGGAGGAGGAGAGTTGCAGCATGAATGAAAGCTTCCTGCATGATATGAAGGCTTGATGCACAGCAATGCTTCCAGGTGCCGTGCTTAACAGGAGAAAAACTTGAGCGGAGTCAGCTTTGTTCTTCCTGTCTTCTGAATCTCTGCTTTTATAAGTCATAAGTCATTTCAGATCAATATTGATATAGACTATTTTAATGCAAATATCTTTAATAATAATTCACAGACATAACTGTCATACAAGGACATTATGTGAAGCTCTTTAAAGTCCTTTTTCATTGTGTTGTATTGTTCTCAAACATCATGTATCACCAAAGCCTCTGTAGTAATTGCTTGCCCGTACAACATCCATTTTCTTTAATGGGAATTTGCGCCGGTCGATTAAAAGCCAATGGTCTGACGGAGCAGTGCTTCTGGTGCTAGCTTCATTCTACAGATATTTAAAAGTCTTTGTTCGCCAGCACATGGGAATCCATTAGTCCAACAAAGCTACAAGTTTAGACATTAGAGAAAGGCACTTTGGTGATTTACTGAAGAAAAACCCTGTATCAGAGTGTATATTATTTCAAATTAGGGAAGTTTTCAATGTCAAACTGTAATTGATGTACATTCTAATTATGTCTGTGTCCCTGTTTTTCATCTTTAGCTGCCATTCTATCCACACAATGGAGCACGAGTTTTATGAATGTCCCGAATACATCTCCAGCACGCCCGCAGACGGGGAGAGGACAGAGGAATATGTGTACGAGGTACCCACAACTGATTTTTTTGTTTATTTATTTATTAGGTTAATTGATTAGGAACAGTACACATTAACAACATAAATGTGTCAGTAATAGCTAAACTAAAGCTAGTTTCCACACTCCAACACCCCAAACATAACAATATAGAAATAATTACTAAAAATAATTCCAATTTAAAACAGGCATACTTCATATCATAATTGGATACAACAAATTTGATTGTCTAATTACCATGTTTTTAATTTGCGTTTTAAAGTCTGAGTGGTCTTTAGTATATGGACTGGCATGGTGTTCCAGAACTGAATGGCGCTCACTGAGAAAGCTGATTGGCTGAAGGCACTTTTTCTCAGTGGGACAAGAAGATTTTTAGAGGCCAAGATGCTTAATGCTATTTATTTTGTTTTTGTTATTATGTTATTTTTCATACACCAGCCAAGCAGATATAAGGACATATGGTTTAACAGTGGGCAAGAAGGCCTGGGTTTTATTCCACCTCCGGGGTTTTCTGTGGGGAACTTGCATGTTCTCCCCATGTGTCTATAAAATATATATTAATAACACTTACTTACAGGTAAACGTTCTTGCAATTGCACATGAATCCTGTAATTTATACTGAAGAACGGGGAGATAAATTTGCGCTCAGAGTTTACGTAATTAAATAACATTTGACCTTCAAAATGATGGACAGTTGTAGAAATACATTTAGTGATAATAATTAATAGTAAATAAATACTCACAACAATAATTAGCCTTTTTTATGATCATTGTGATTTCATCGTTTATCGCTATGTTCTAAGAAGTATTGTCCCAAAATAGATTTATTTTTACGCTGTGAAAATAATCAATTAACATAGCTTTATAGACATTTTCTTGTAGTGAATTAGTAACGTGTGATTCAAGAACAGTAGAATATTTCATAACAACAAAAGTAGTTCGAGCTCTCGCCTAACCAGAGCTCCTTTACTTACTAACGTGAAAAGAGACAGCGTAAGTGAACACAGAAGGGAAACTTACGAGTGGTAATAGGATTTTTTGAAAAGCTTGTTACGCTGAGGTTTTGTGTCTCTGAATAAATGATCCAAGGCCAGTCTGATGGATGGCTTTCAACAAAAGTACTCCCCATCTTCACAATACAAGAGAGCGGCCCATGTCTTAAGTGGCAGTCGCTGCTTTATGCAGAGACCCTGGGCTTAATAAAAACAAACTCAATTCATAAAATGCTATTAAAAGAACATTCAACATTGAATTGAAATGTGGCGAGTATTGATTCACCCCCGAGTCTGTTCTTGAATCTTTTGTGCCATTTTGCGGATGTATTTTGGTAAATTTAATGGACGATTCAAACCAAGGGCATACAAAAGCAGTATGCTTTTGGCCAACTGAACAATACCTCCAAGGAAATCCATCAAAGATGTGAGAGGCTATAGTTGGATATAAATACCTAGCAATAACCCCTTAGATTCCAAACTAGATTTGCTACATGAGCTCCTGAATCTAGGACACATTCTGTACAGTGAAAACGTTTCCCTACATTTTTCATACAGTAAAAAAGCCCAAACCCAAGACCTTCTTGCTGAGAAGCAAAAGTGCTATCCGCTCAGCCACCATGCCGCCCTGAACAGAGCAACAGCAGTATTTGATCCATCTGTTGTGGTGGAGAGTGTACACAGCCAGCCATAGATGTCATTGTTTTGGCCATATTGTGGATAACTCAAACTTTTTTTAGTTTGTGCATGAAACAATTTTTTTTTATAATTTCAGCCAGGATGGGTAAACTTTCATGCACAACTGCATGGCATCAAATAAAAAAATGTACTTCCTTATTATGCCTGTCTGTATATTGTGACACACATCAAGCTGAGATCCCGGGGTCATTGCTGGTGGCAGAAAGGCTCAGCATATGCCACAGTTGGCCCTCTCCTGTGGTTTAATAGGCACTTCCTGGTTCAGTGAGCTGCGTTGTGAGTCATTAGGATAGCCCTGTTGCCAGCTGTGGTCCGCTGAACTAAAGCGTAGAGCATGAAAAAAGTCCCGAGAGGTGGACGTCTTGTATTCGTGGTAATAGCAGCACTATGAGAACACAGTCACGGCCCCTGCCCCCCACCTGCCAACCTCTACCTCTACCTCTGCCTATCCGTATGCATCCCACTGTAACATCAATGCATTTCCTCGAGGATAAGACGGAATAAGGCTGCTATTTCCAGGAACATTAATTTTGACTGACAGTCTCTTTGCTTTAATCCCTTGTTCATGGACGGCCATTATATAACTGTCATGTCAGATCATCTGCACACAGCTACAAATTGTAGAGTGAGAGTACATGTTGTCATAAGTTTGTGTGAATGACATGTTGTCATATATTTCATAATGGAAAAATGTACACTTGAAAAAATACAAAGACATGAAAAAATGACATTGATAACACCCAGCAGGTATTCTGAATGGATATGGATTTTCAGTTTTTCTTCAAAGTTATTTTATTGAAAATCTGTCTCCAATAACTTGATTGATTTTGTCGTCTCCCAACGACTGTGAAAAGGAGGTAATTTTGTTGAATGCAGGGTATTTTTATCTAACAGCTGGAGATTGACAACCATTCATAATATCAATCACTTCTAATTTGACATTAGATGCACCATTGCACATGCTCAGAGCTTAGCATGTGCAATAGATTTTACTATAGTACAATGGCAGTAATTGTAGTTATTATTCAACACTATTAATGCATTCTATTGAATGCCACTATTATTTCAATCCAGACAAGGTGATGGTACTACTGCTCTAGCCACAGCTGCCCTGGAGGCAGACTGACAGAAGTGAGGCATCCCCCAGACTACGACCAATGATTCATTCACACTTCAGACTTTTTCTGGGCAGTGTGGCTGAAGTGTCCTGCTGAAGGACACAACTACAGTTTTGCACCTCTCACAGCACTAACCAGGTCCGTCCCTGCTTTGCTTCTGAGATCCGGGATCAGGCTTTTACACACTTGTGGCACAATGATAGTTTGTATACAGTATAAGTTAGTTTACTATGTTAATACAATCTTAAAGCTTGAGTACCTAACTTTCAAACCACCAAAGTGAACTGTGTTTTCTTAAATCCATGACAAGGTGGACAGTGGTTTGCACTTGTGCTTCACAACAAGATGGTCCTGGGTTTGATACAACCTAGCATGTTCTCACCGTGTCTGTGTTGGTTTCCTCTGGATGCTCCGGTTTCCTCCAGGTGCTCCAGTTTCCTCCGGGTGCTCCAGCTTCCTTCAGGTGCTCAGTTTTCCCCTACCACTGAAAACATGTACAACAGTTCATCATGAAGTTTTTGTGTGGAAAACTGATAGAAATCTGCTTGAAGCTACAATTTGGTGTATTTCCAGCACTTTCAAGAATATACACTGTTATAAAAACATTACATACCTAGTTCCTCACTCTCAAACACAAAAGTGCAGAAGAGAGGACCCCCTCACTCAGCCACTCTCATATGTAAAAGATGTTCTTCTGTGCTCTGATTTGTTCACAAATGTTACTCACACAAGACTCTCTCTGAGCAAACAACATGTGTTTATGAAACCTAAACATACATCATGTACCCCAGCTTTAAGTCGTTGAGATATCCACTGCTTCAAAAAGAAACAGGCCCATTCTAACATCTTTCAGTCACACGTGTTAAAATTTCAGAACTTTCTGGAGAACATTACATAGATAAAGCCGACTCTATGACAATCTTCCCCTTCTCAAACAAAATGCCAACTGTCTGTATCACGTTCCTTAAATAGTGGCCGTAGGTCCCCTCGCACTTCAGGAATATTTTAACAAGCTCATTTGTGTGAAAAATCTTAAAACCAGCCAACAGCGAACACTGTGCACCGGCTCATTTCAAGGACTATTTGTGTGAAATAGTCGCAGCTGAAATAACCTCATCATGTGCAGTGCAGAGACAATGAGCCAGTCTACATTAGCTTTAGTGGCATATTTGTTTTCAGACCTACCTCATAACAGCGCTGTAGCAACAGATGTTCTATGGTCAACGAAAGGCGGACGAGCCCCCATTTTCAATATATCCTTATAAACCTAACATTAACGCGCACTAAGTCTTTTGTAGTAAAATCTATTAACAGATTTTGACATGGCTATATTGGTATATCATTCATCACCCACTGTGCCATATTATGACCCAATTATAACTAAATGGAAGCTCTCACAGTGGCAGCACATCTGGAAATCATTAGTATTCCCATTACCGTCAGACAGAGCCAAAATTAAGATCACCTCCAAACAAGCGGATATTAAGGCTGTGGTAAAGTTTAATCCAATGGAGAAAAAAAAATGAAATCTGGTATTCGAGATTACCGCAATAATATTTTAGACTCATGTATGATTTTGAAGGTCAGGGTTGTCTGCACAGAGGGTTAAATGCCACAGAAATTAATTACTTCCCCTGTCAGTCTTTGCTATCGGGTTTACCCCCAGAGAGAAAGAAAGTGTGTTGGTCCCCCTCCCCTTTTCTCTCAACTTCACAGTAGAGAATGATTTGAGCTGCATGGGGTTAATAAGGATTACGGCACTAGCGTTATCAAATAGTGATTACATTAGAGCACAACTGAGATGAAAAGAATGCTGTGGTGGTGGGAGCGGGACACATTTGGAGGCTTTTTTTTAATATGGGTGTGAGGGAAAAAGTAGTAAACTGTTTATAGTTTATCCCTTTAATGTTCACTCCTTGAAGAAAGCAATGTATTTTTCTTTAGTTTAGATTGTCTGATAGAGGAGCACTAATTACACAAATAAGTTGTTTTTATCCTGTTTTTTTTTTTTTTAAACCCCATTTCTTTAAAGGTTGAGATGCAGTTTGATGATGAAAGTGCCTAAAACCAAGTGAGATGCCCCAAAGAGGTAGATTTCAGCTTCAAGTAGATGTAGTTACTCACAAAGTGTGTTGGAGTCTGTAAATAGACCAATAGAGGTAATGATTAATCCATGACTAAAAATGTTAGTTAGCGTACATGATTATTGAAAAAAAATAAAAAATAAAAATAGTTAAAGTAACTGTACAGCTCTTGTAACGCAATATATTTATGAACTTATGGCTACACGTGTATTGAGATTCTGTTTTGTATTTGATTGGGACAGTGCATGATAATGAGCAGACATGATTTTTTTTTTTAAATACATGAATGTAAACACACCAGATTATAGCCATCCGTTGTCCCAAGAGTCTGGGGCCACAAAGGGCTATAGTATGTACATCTTAAAACAAATAAAACATTAAAACAAGGTCCACATTATAACAAGGTCCACATCCTCACAGAAGCCATGTCTTTTAGATCCAGATTGAGAGCCCTTGAGACATCCTCATTGAAATGTTATTGTTTTTATAATCCGTATTTTTATGAAATTGTATGTTACGGTTTTATAATCTGTAATTGTAACTGTATGTAACTTGTGTCCAGGACTCCCTTGAAAAAGAGGTTCTTAATCTCAATGGGACTTTCCTGCTTAAACAAAGGTTAAATAAAAAGTCTACACACACATACTGCAGCACTATGCAATCATTTCTCAGTCCGTTTCCACATTCATAATCCACTAAAGAGTCCATAATGTTTGAAACCACATTATTGCTCACATCCTACTATTGCCCACGGCCCAATCACTGGACACAATCCAGCAAATGGTTACACACTCGCCATTTAAGAACTAATGTATCGGAACCGCACATTAATATGAACGGTGCTCATACGCTTGAGCTTCATGTATATCTCATCCTTTTATTCATCCATTTCTGGGTTGGGGGGTAGCAATAAGAGCTGCCACCCAAACCTCACAGCCCTAGCCCCTCGCTTCAGGCAGAGGAGGGTTAAGTGTCTTGCCCAGGGACACAACGACAGCAGACGTGAGTGGGAGCAGATGGAGTAGGTCTTGTGGGGGATACTACCATCTGAGCCAGTAGTGCCCCTTGTCACGTTTGAGTTTATCTTAATAAATCTGACCTTTGAATTATGTCTAACCTCACAAACTGCTCTATTGCACACAGCCTTTTACAACATCAAGTATACTGTATTGCCAAATGCATCATATCATGGAATCAATTTTACAAAGTGACAAAAACTTGATTGTCGTGGTAACAGAGCATCAGCCCTATACATGCATTTAGAATTGTCATTATATTTTTTTACTTCTACATTTAGACATGAAGACTAAACGATCAATTGTTTGTGTTGGACAGGAGGTGGAGCTGTGTCGACAGAACAGTCTGGAGAAACTGGGTTTGACGTTGTGTTACCGGACCGACGAGGAGGAGGACATGGCCATCTACGTGAGCCAGGTGTGTGCTTGAAGTTCTCACACTCATCTCAAAACATTGGTTATATGTGGAGGTACAACTACACCGTGGGGCAAAAAAGTGTTTAGTCAGCTACCAATTGTGCAAGTCCACCCTCTTAAAAAGATGAGCGATGCCGTCATTAGAGGACTTTCACAATTGGTGGCTGACTACTTAGTCCCACTATCTACAATTAAACTGCATTTATACTGTGTGCTTAGTACTTACCCACTTACTCATCTACAAAATACTGGGCGGCAGTAGCTCAGTTGGTAGAGCATTGGCCTTTGAGCCAGAAGGTCGTGGGTTCAAGCCCCGCTCAAGACTTTCACCATCGACTCCCTCTGACTACTGTCGTTGTGTCCTTGGCAAGACACTTAACCTCTGGGAACACCAGCCACAGTGGGGCGGCTGCGGCTGTAAAGTGCCAAACTGCCGTTGTGTCCTTAGGCAAGACACTTCACCCCCATTGCCTAGAATGAGTCTGGTGTGTGTGTGAATGGTTGGTGGTGGTCGGAGGGGCCGATGGCGCATACTGGTTGCCTCGCTTCTGTCAGTGTGCCCCAGGGCAGCTGTGGCTACAGCAGTAGTTTATCACCACCGTGTATGGAGTGAATGAATAATGACACATGTGAAGCGTCTTTGAGTGTCCAGAAAAGCGCTATATAAAACCGATGCATTATTATTATTATTAAAATCATTGATCTATTCTTTGATTCTTAAAGACCCGTGTTGGAGTTACTGTGTTCATAGTTTTACTTGTAGTTTTCATAGCTTATAAAAGAGGGCCATCCATCCATCCATTTTCTTCCCCTTAATCCATTTCTGGGTCGGGGGAGTAGCCAGAGATGCCACCCAGTACACAGAGCACCAGCCCCTCACAGGTGGTGAGTCCACAGGAGCTGAGATCTTTCAGTGGGGGCTTCAAGCAAAGTGTCTTGCCCAAGGACACAACGACAGCAGTCATGAGTGGGAGTCGTGTCGTGAAGTAGGTCTTATACAATATTTCACGCTGTATACCAAATTCAGTTTTTATGTGTGACGCAGCTTGACGTTACATGATTATGGTGTGCCCCTACATCGTTCCAGTTGAGACTCCCTGACCGAGAGTGAGAAAATCCTCTGAAATTTTTTCCAGAACTACTGTATTAACAAAGTGTTTCTCAAAATTATCATGGAACAAATATATTGGTGGGGACACAGTTCAGATGGGCACAAAGGATTAACAGTGACATAGAGAAAAGATTAACTCAAACAAACCATTTAACTCATTTCAAAATTTGAGGAAGAATCCCAGTCATGTGCATCAGCGCCTTATTAACCTGATAACATACGTGAACCCCATTTGAATAAACATTTTTGGCAAATAGAAAAAGATTAAAGACCGTAGCCAGAAAACATTTACTCATTCATAACAAATTCATCAGTGCAAAAATGGAAGTCAAGTCTGTAATGCGATTCCCTCCTCCTCCAGCGTGTTTTAATTGAAGTCTTTAATTAGCTCTGAGCAGCCACCATTGCCTTCCACCATATGGCAAACGACGCTTTCTCACTGTACGATATCAGGCCTGAATACCAAACACTTAAAACCGAGAAGCTCTTTACACGTTCAATTTGACTGGGAAAGAACAGTCTCTCGTGTGAAGCCGCTAATGAGGAACTACGACGGAGATTTTCAGCGTTCGCAAACGCAAATCCAGGTGCAGGGGATGGCAGTGTAAAAAGTGGAAATTAGGAAATGTGAATGGGATTTATTCTAGATATAAATTGTGTTAGAAAAATATACCCAGGGGACACTAGAGCTTTTTTACCTTGTCACATGGAATCAACTTGTAGCAGAAAGCTGTTAATGAATGATATCAATGCAAGATACTCTCCTAAAAACACAGAAAGTATTTTTAAAATAATAATATCTTTGATTCTTGTTTTATCCAGTGTTTTCTGGTGGTGTGTGAAGCACTTTGTAACACTGTATTGAAAGGTGCGATACAAATTGAAAAATATGTGTTAATGATGATTATTAGTGTCAACATTTATAGTAAAAATAATCTGGCAATTCATTTGGATTTAAAAGCAGTAATTGGCAAATGGATGTATCATGCTCATGTCCGTAGAACTATTTAACCAATACTCAATGTATTTAAAATATTAAAAGTGAAAAACATGCAATGTATACATTTTTAAAGAAAACATAACACAGGAGAGTCTTTGATCGTCCCCCAGTGGGGAAATGCCAGTGTTGCAATATACAATACAGAAAAGTTAAAATATAAACAAGACGAGATCAAATATATCTGTAGTATTTAGAGAATCATTCAAATCTTTATCAGGGATGACCAATTTATCAATTTTAAAGTCTCTTAAGATATTGGTAATTTAATGTTTAATTTGCTGAATTTTGCTGATAAAAAAAGAAAATTGTCCACTCAGGCACTAACTCATTAAGTCTATCTTTATACAATATAGACATGTTGTAACTCAATTTAAAGCACAATAAAAGGCATAATGGGCTGCTTCAGAGAATATCACTAGCCAATATCAACTTGCAATATACAATACAATACAATACCATGTATTCTTGTCTAGCCCTGAATCACAACAGTAGTCATCTCAGAGGACTTAACAAAAGCGTTGAAATCGACAACACAGATAGAACACACATGTATTGGTCCATAGGGAGAGACCAAATGCTTTGTCCAAGTGGCTCAAAGAAGCATATAATGACATACATGACAATAAATCGGTAATCGGTAGCAGAATGCCAGAAAAGTGCATCGTATCGGCTACAAACATTTCAAATGAGTCTGTCCCTATTATTTCTCCCTAAGAATACTTCTGTAGTACTGCTATAAGTGCATTTTAGAAACAGTAGCCTACATAAATAGCCTTAGGGGATAAATGCACATGTGCAATTAGCAGCAGTGGTGTTGTGATGACTGTTTATGTATTAGCATAGACAAAGATCATTTGTCTGTGGACACATACTTTATGTACCACAGGTGCAAGAATGCACTTCACTCCAGTATTGAACATTATTAATACAGGTCAATGGCATCTGTATAGAGTCTGCATAAAATTTCCACATTATTAGCGATATAGTGCAAAGGATGAAACAAGCAAAACAACTTTCAAAATGTACAATATTTGTATTGAAGGTTAAATAATATTGTTAATAGTTTATAGGTAATCGTTGCTATTATTGAAGAAATGATATTAATTAACGTTTTTATGTATCTACTGTTCATAAGCAAACTAGTTAACCCTTAAACGTAACCCTTTATTTCTCAGTATAAACAATAAAGTGAATGCAACCATGTTTAACAGGTAACAGCAGAATAAATATATATTACAGTGGTCATGAGGTTCCAAATGGGGTTATCTCATCTCCATGGAGACCGGCAGAGAGAGGACCCTCCACAAGAAAGCTTCGATATTCTAAACATGAACCTTATGCATTTGATTCTTTTCTTCTGCTTCTGCTTTTGTTTTGTCTTTCCACAGCAGGCACTATGTTAAAATGAAAAGCACAAAACAACATCTCTCACCTCCCTACTCTCGACAAATTGCCAAAACAGTCGCTCCCTGACTGTCGATCGCATCTATTTTTGTACAAGGGATAGAAATGCTAATGCCTCATTATTATGCATGTGTACAGTACAGGAAGCTGGTGAGACTCTGGAAAGGCGTGATCCAGTTTTATTTTTTGATAAAGGTTTATTTCTGCCCCATGTTGTTTGATCTTCATAGGAAAAAAAACACAAAACACAATGAAAGCCCAGTTTTGGTGCGTATCCAATTCCACGGGGACTTCATTTCTCCAACTGTAAGCCATGCTCTAAGATAACGTAACTTGTGATGTCTGTTTGGAACTGGCTTATGAGCTCTTTCTTCCAGCGTCAAACCAACTTCAAAATTAGCTTACTGTGACAAACTCTGCGTTCTCACCTCAGAATATAAACACAAGACATCTGAGGAAGTCCCTGTGATTCCTGATGCAAAAACATCAAGACAACAAAGTGGCACAGGAAGAAGCAGAATGTATAAAGATGGTTTTCCTTCATATTTTTGTACAGGTGGAGCCGCACAGTCTTGCTGCCAAAGACGGGCGTATAAAAGAAGGAGATCGAATTGTTCAAGTAAGCATCTCCCACTTGGGATTTGTTTTTGGGATGTAATCATCAAGTATTACTTTTGTTTCTGTTTAGATCACATTTCCACAAGCCTTTTACCTAAACATACCCCAACCCGCTGAATAGTTTTGGATATCAATATTAAATTCATGAATATGTTCTTTTATTCTGATTATATTCATTTTCTTTTATACGTTTAAATTTAATAACAATTGGTATTCCATAAATTAAATTAACACAAATATTTTTGTTCAAATGTGGTAGGGAGAAAAAGTCTTCATTGTTTACAGAACCATATTGATAAAAATATCATATTGAATTCAAAGTCCCTGAAAGATGCCCAGCTGTATTCTTACTGGTCTTTGATTACTTCTTCTTCTTTGATTACTTATTACTGATGTTATTTTTCTTAATCTGCAAATGAAAACAAACAAAAAAACCTGCCTCGCCGCTTTGATCTGCTGATGTCAGCCGTTTATGATGATTATTCATACACTGACATACAAGATACGAGAACCTTCATTCTTCCCACAGTGGGGACATGTCAGTGTTGCACCGCATATACAGGACATTTGTAAATTTGTGAATTTGTAAATTTCTCCTTTGTGAGATAAATAAAGCATATCTTATCTTATCTTATAGGACAGTATCATTAATGTGCCATGGGTTTTAGCCGTTTTAACAAGGGCTATGACAAGTTCATGAATGAATCGCAACTAATAGATTATTGAAACAGTTGCTCATTAAAAATAATGGATTCATCATTTTTGTAAAGTGAAGGAAATTTACATTTTACTACTTGAATTCAAGCCCCAGTAAGATCCGCCCCCATAGCTTCCTGATTGGACGCAGTGAATTCAATGATAGACCACTGAGGCCCTAACCATTGGTAGCTAACTATTCTCCTCCAGAAAATATTACTAATTTCCATTACTATTATTTACAGACAAAAAATACATGGTCATATGGTCAAATGTATGTATTCTCATAAATAAAAAAATACAAACGTTGTAAACATTGCCTCTAAACATGCTAATAAGTTGTATGACTATAATGATTGCAGAATGAAAGTAAATGGGATTACAAGTATTCTGAATCAAACAACCCAAAGAAGATGTTCTCTAGGGACATAATTTTAGGTCAAATACACTTAAAAAATCCCTTTCAGGACCAACTGAACTAATTACTTAATTGAATAATCGGACAATTAATCGATTGTCAAAGTAATGGCTGACTTAATTTATACTAAAACGATAACAGACAAAACATGTTCAATCTAGAAAATCAATGCACACTGTTGCCCTGACCTCAAAGCCCACAGACACTGATCCAGGAAAGGAGCAATTCTGTGGAAAGAATCCACGATGAAACCTTTTCTCTCGGACACTGCAGGGTTTTTGAGACATTTTCCGGTAATTAGAAGAGTGTGAAGCACATATGGCTGTACAAAAATCTGCAGCAGTAGAGTAACAGGCTGCTCCTTCTTTTACTCTATGTGCCAATCTTATCCTGTTCAGTGTCCACCTGCTGTAAGTGACATTTTTTGGGTCTTCATGGATAATGTAACAAATCCACCTGCTCATTCCTTGCTCTCAAAACACTCAGTTCTATCTCTAATTTTAAGCATGTATTTATTGTTTCTGTTGATCAGCTTTTTCAGAAAAGACAGGACCACTTTTATTCTTTCAAGTAAGCAAACAAATTGTTCCTCCTAATAAGATAAAGAGGGTGTGTTTTGGTCTGATTTGCTTATACAATGTTACATTCACAGGATCCTTTTTGTTATTTATTTTGTTAAATAGACAATATGTTAGCTACCTCAGCTTTGAAAGATTCTAATACTGATGAGTAAGAAATGTATAATTATTTTATTCATTTATTTAGTTGCCCAATACTGTTTTTATTATATTTTGTGTGTGTGAATGGTCGGTGGTGGTTGGAGGGGCCGATGGCGCATACTGGTTGCCTCGCTTCTGTCAGTGTGCCCCAGGGCAGCTGTGGCTACAGTAGTAGTTTATCACCAGCTTGTATGAAGTGAATGAATAATGACATGTAAACCGTCTATGAGTGTCCAAAAAGGCTCAATATAAAACCGATGCATTATTATTATTATTTATTTTGTTTCAAATATCTGCATTTCTATTTATCTAGATAATAATTACCATTGCATATGTGAAAAATAAATCATAATCAATAATGTTGTTTTAGTGATTATGGGGCTAAAAGCCTTATTTTTTACTGAAACCTATGGAATTGTTTAGAAATAATCAAATAATAATAATAATAATAATGATAATCAAATTGAAAAACCCCTGTATCTAGATATTTAAGGCCTCGTGTCATGCGTATCGAGATAAGCATCTTATTGCCACATTGAAAGAAACCCTATTTCTATTACATGAAAAGGATCTCCAGTACATTCAAAACGTCTTCATTAGAATAAGCTTGCATCCAAACCCGAGGATGCAATTTGGAAGGCGTACAAAGCTGCTGTTCATCAACCTTTTTGCTAAGTGTGCATCTCTGGTTAATAAGTCCGGGGAAATCAATGATAAATACCAAGGCATTAGGCAGTTTGACACAGCTTCAACGTCTCAACCCTGAACGCAAGTGGATGCCATTACCCGAGTGTAGTGTGAGCGATCGTGTGCGCACAGGGCCGGCTGTGGCGCTGCTCCTATTATCTGCTCCTGACAGCCCCATTACTCCAGAGAGGAAAAGATGAACGCCACCTGTCCAACAACACTTAATTGTGTGTCTGGATGGAGGAGTAGATTCTCATCAAGTTTGACTCTGCAATAGTAGAGCACATGCCGCCTACCCTCGCGCCCTCAGCCGCTGCGCACCAAGAGATGTCAGGGCACAATGCAGGCCGAGGATGGAGTGGAGAGGAGGGGGAAGAGTACAGGGCTAATGGTGGTAAAAGCGGCGTTTAGTTGGGCACGGAAAATGTAGGGAAATGGCTGTTGAAATTTGACAAATGGCTAATAATCTACTTTTCACAATATTGCTAACATAGGCGAGAAGCCTATTTATAGGAATGTTTTGTGGTTTTCGTCTACACGCTTCGGCTCGATTCACATACATTGGAAAGTTAATCCGTCTAGATCTTTTTATTTTTTTAAATCCACATATGTTGCTATCCACAAGTGCTGTCTCAGAGAACACCATTCGGGTGAAAGGTGTACAAAACGGAACATTAGATGCATTCACTGATATTAGCAGACTATAGGACCATGCAAACCCTCATTTTTGACCACAAAGCAATATTTTATTGATTATTCTTTCTCCAACCAAAACCTGCACAGCGTAAACTCCTCCGGTTCCAGTGGGCCTGACCAAGCTGAACATCAGCATCTGGAGATGGGTCCCTGGGCCTGGAACTGTAAAGACTGCTCCTGACAGGCTGCCCTTTGGTGGCATTAGAAGGATGGATCCAAAAAAGTGCTATATAAAAGCAATGCTCCGTTATTGTCATCATTACTAACAAACACTGCAGACCTGACCTCACATGTCGTGCATCTGTGCCATCATTTGAACTAATGTCAGAATGAACAATATAGAACCACATGTGTCCACTGTCACTTTACTGCGGCACGGTGGCTGAGTGGATAGCACTCTCGCCTCTCAGCAAGAAGGTCCTGGGTTCGAATCCCGGTCGGACCAGGGCCTTTCTGAGTGGAGTTTGCATGTTCTCCCCGTGTCTGCGTAGGTTTCCTCCGGGTGCTCCGGTTTCCCCTACCACTAAAAATATGTCCAATAGTTCTGGCATGCGCCTCCTGTACTGGCCCCGCTCCCATCTCTGTGTGGAGTGAGAGACAAATGCCCAAAATTAACAATTGTAAACCGCTTTGAGACTCAGATCTGCAGTGAAAAGGCGGTATATAAATAAAAACTTACTTACTTACTTTACTGAGTCTTTTGTGTCATACCCTCATGCTGCTAACATGTGTACATCTTTAAATGTTATATAAACATATGTTTTATACTTATTATGATAAAGTCAGAAATGTTATACTCAATTCTTGCTCCTACATAATCGCGTAGTTGCTTTTTTAATATGCTAAAGTCTGATTTTGATTTATTTCAGAATAGAATTTTTGTTAGTTGTGTTTTTGTGTGGTAATGTGTGTTTGTGTGGTCCTCATTCCTACTGTTCTGTAACACTGACATACTGTATCCACACTGTGGGACAAATAAAGAATCTCTTTTTTATTATCACTATTATAAAAGTGTATTACCACAACAAAAAATACTATTGCTTACACTCGTCGAGTAATAGCACCCCCTCCCACTCAGTCAAACTATTACATCCTGTCTTGAAAACATAAGCGCTCAGACTGTTAACACGTCACACGTCTATATCATTGTCATCTCCACAGATCAACGGCTGTGAAGTGCACGACAGAGAAAAGGCGGTGGCTCTTTTGTCAAGTGAAGACACAAGGAGCGTCATCTTACTGGTGACAAGGCCAGAGCTGCAGGTAAACTCACACAAACAGCCCGCCTGCCCCCACCGCCTCAAACTAAAACAGACACCTGCCACAGCTGTTTCTTTGCTTTGTCGACGCAAGCGGCTGTGTACGACATCGAACACACGAGAGACAAGGCTCTGACACCATGTTGTGATTTCAGCTGGAGGAGGATGTGTGGCTGGATGACGATCAACAAGAACTGGTGCAGCTGAAGATGGAAATCCTGGAGCAGAGGAGAAAGCACAAAGAGCAGAAGTTTGACAGAAGAAAAGAGGTGGGGGAAAGCAGCAGTTTGTGTTTGAGAGAATGATAATGCTGTAAGATTTTTGCTGTGGAATGTTCAATATGAATATATGTTATTTAATTATGCTGTTTATTTTTATAAGACATGTTTTTTGAGTGAAATTGACACATTTTGAATAATTATCCTGCTTTATTGTATTAGTGTGGAATTAAGTAGTTTTGATGTTATTGTTTATCGCAATTCATTTTCTGAATCATTATATCGCCCATAAACATTTGTTATTATGACAGTCCTGGTCTCTCCCACAAATAACCATAAAACTCAAGAAAACCCTTGTTGAAATGGATATTTCATGATTACACAAGCAATTAAATGCAGAAATTAACTAGCAAAGCACTCCTTTAGCTGCGGTCCCGGTCCGGGACGATGTAGGCTAGCTATTTTCACTCGAACCTTCTTCTACCATGCTGCTGTTGTTTACATGCACCGCAGACGCTAGAGGGGGCGTGGCCTAGGCGAACGAGCGCCACGCAAAGTTTCTACTCACCACTTTTTATGGCCTGAATTCATACCATAGACTGTAAATATTCATACAGCTGAATCAATGAGCTCAACTTTTCAATTAAATTACGGGTTTTAATACAACTTAGAAAAGACACTGTCTACTACAGAAAGACAAAATGTGAATAATGTTAATGCTGTTTTATGTGGATTTATTGTTAGAATAAACATATACAGTACATATGTACACTATGTCGTAATTTATTTTTCAATTTGAACAACCATTTACAGAAAAATATGGCATAATTTTGCTGATACAGTAGTTCGAAATTTGATTAAATACGATTAATTAATTTTTAAGCTGTAATTAACTTAATTTTAAAAAAAATTCGTTCGCCAGCCCTAGTGCAAATTCATTAAAAAGATGGCTGCACCAGATTTAGCACCATGCAACTTTCCATCTGTAGTCCTTGCTGCCCAAAGTGCTTCACAGACACAAAAAAGAAAAAGAAAACAGCACTTTTTGTAAGAAACTACTTAAAGGTTTGAAGAACAATACACATTATGGATAATGGAAGTCTGTAGACATTTGTGTTGCCTGAGTATTGGTACATAAAACTGCTTTGAGTTCACTCAACATTAAACTTTTGATTAAATGTTAAACAAAACCATTAATCTTATTTTTTTGTGTTTTCTCAGCTCCAGCTTGAGGAGGGGATGACCACTGACACGGCCACATGCTCCTCCAACAACCAGGACAGCGGGTTTGGCCATGGCACAGACAGCCCAGATCACCAGCCACTTTTATCCCGAATACATAAAAAAAGTCCTGCTCAATGTTTGCGCGAAAGATGGCTGGCAGATCATCCACACAACAAACCTCCAAAGACGCAATCCAAAACGCAAGACAATGGCAACAGCCCAATGCTAGGTTTGGAGAATCGCTTCCAACAACTTTTGGAGCTCAAATGTCAGATCCGTAACGGCGTGGAGTGTGGCGTGTATTCCATAAGACACAGCATCGAATGTAGCCTGACAGAACAGAGCGGCGGGGACGAAGAGGGCGTTAACAGTGGAGAGAGCGAAGGGGGAGTGGAGCACGAGCTGAGGATGCTGAATGAAGAGCTACGAAGTATTGAATTGGAGTGTCAGAGTATAATGCAATCCCACCAGCTACGACAGTCCAGCCAACCCACGCAAACCCCGGTTCGAAGCCCCAAAGACGGACTCAAGCTTCGTGGTAGACTGGCTGACATCCATGAACATCCAGAAAGATCGGATACCGAGAGGAGAAAGGACAGTTCCAGTGCCTACAATACGGCGGAGAGTGCGAGGTCAACGCCTGCAGGAGTGGAAAAGTCACCAGATCACTCCTTACAAAGACAAGTCAGCCTCACCAACCAAAAAAACCTCAGTTCATCAACTTCGTCAAGCCCCATACCCATCACAAAATTTCACAGTATGCCTAGTCGCACAAAAATGACAGATCTTGGCCAAGTTATATCCAGCAGTCCAGACCAGAGCAATCCATCCAGATCTGAGTCAGACCCATCATTACCGGCAGATGACGAAAGGTGCGAGAAGAAAGGAAGAAGGGAGAGGCGGGCGCTGCCTTACCCATCAGCATATCAGAACAGTCCATACCACTGTCAAGGAGGGGCCAGGCAATTGCAGGTGTGTGTTGTAAAAATATGAACAAAATCAGGGTTTTGATATTTGCATTTGGGTTTAAGCTGACCAATTACATTTTTTTTACTATTAGGGCTTGGAAAACAAGGTTTTTATCAATTAATCAAATTTAGTGTTTTTGATGATTTTAACAGTAGGAAATCTATTTCCTTTTCCACTAGCATGTTCCTAAACATCATACAGCAGCGTGTTTGCAAAGATGCGTTAAGGTCAAATGAAAATCTAATGTGCAAAACACAACGTGTATTTACATGATTTACCCCCAGTCTCCCAATGAATGTTTAATGCAGTCTCAGTTTAAATATACGGAAGCTTGTTAGGTTCACTTGTGAGTTTTTTTTTTTTTTTTTCGCTGGTATCATGTTATTTTCTGATGATTTCATGTAAATTCAAGATAATGTTATATTCGTACAAGATATGGATCATGTTATTTCATGATACAAAACTATCATGTTATTTCATGATACCAATTTATCATGAAATACCAAGATACTGTAGATACAGAAGAAGAAGCTGTAGACGTCAGACCTTTAATATTTACAGTCTATGGCCAGACCATATGCCAGGAATGTGGAATGGCTCAGGCAAAGAACCCGCTTTGCACCTTTCTACGACAGCGAGGGGTGTCAGAGGTATCTTTGTTGTGGACGCAGGAAGATCGAGTCAGTAATCAATATGAAGTTATGGACTGCTATCACCGTAATTACACATTTAGCATGGTGAGGCTGGCATGTTAGCTTGTCAGCCTAGCTTTGTATTTCCCATGATGGTCAAGTAAAAGGCTAAACTGTATTTGCTGGCCTAAAATTAAACCATTGTTATAGCAATAATGACCAAACAGGGTCATAATATTAATAGGGAATAATTTGATAGTTAATATGTAGCGCTAAACTGCGTGAACAGTAGTGGGCTGTAGCCGTGCATGTTAGCTCTGTTACAATTGGAAATTAACTGTATGGTGCTTTTTATTTCATTGTTTACAATCCTGAAATATTATAAATCATTGCGGATATATGTAATTATGGTGATAGCAGTTCATAAATTCACATTGATTACTTACTCGATCTTCCTGAATCAGATACCTCTGACACCCCTTGCTGTCGCAGAAAGGTGCAAAGCGGGTCCTTTGCCTGAGCCATTTCGCATTCCTGGCGTATGGTCTGGCGTCTACAGCTTCTTCTTCTGTATCTACAGAATCTTTTTATTTCATGATAGATTGGTATCATGAAAGAACATGATAGTTTTATATCATGAAAGAACATGATCCGTATCTTGTACGAACATGAAATTATCTTGAAATTACATTAAATTATCATGAAATAACATGATACTAGTGAAAAAAAACACACTCACAAGTGAACCTAACAAGCTTCCGTATACAGTGCCTTGCGAAAGTATTCGGCCCCCTTGAACCTTTCAACATTTCGCCACATTTCAGTCTTCAAACATAAAGATATACAATTTTAATTTTTTGTCATGAATCAACAACAAGTGGGACACAATCGTGAAGTGGAATGAAATTTATTGGATAATTTAAACTTTTTTAACAAATAAAAAACTAAAAAGTGGGGCGTGCAATATTATTCGGCCCCTTTACTTTCAGTGCAGCAAACTCAGTCCAGAAGTTCAGTGAGGATCTTTGAATGATCCAATGTTGTCCTAAATGACTTATGATGATAAATAGAATGCACCTGTGTGTAATCAAGTCTCTGTATAAATGCACCTGCTCTTTGATAGTCTCAGGGTTCTGTTTAAAGCGCAGAGAGAACCATGAAGACAAAGGAACACACCAGGCAGGTCCGAGATACTGCTGTGGAGAAGTTTAAAGCCGGATTTGGATACAAAAAGATTTCCCAAGCTTTAAACATCTCAAGGAGCACTGTGCAAGCAATTATATTGAAATGGAAGGAGTATCAGACCACTGCAAATCTACCAAGACCCAGCCGTCCCTCCAAACTTTCATCTCAAACAAGTAGAAGACTGATCAGAGATGCAGCCAAGAGGCCCATGATCACTCTGGATGAACTGCAGATAACTACAGCTGAGGTGGGAGAGTCTGTCCATAGGACAACAATCAGTCGTGCACTGCACAAATCTGGCCTTTATGGAAGAGTGGCAAGAAGAAAGCCATTTCTCAAAGATACCCATAAAAAGTCTCTTAAAGTTTGCCACAAGCCACCTGGGAGACACGCCAAACCCGGGGAAGAAGGTGCTCTGGTCAGATGAAACCAAAATCAAACTTTTTGGCCACAATGCAAAACGATATGTTTGGCGTAAAAGCAACACAGCTCATCACCCTGAACACACCATCCCCATCTCAGCTGTAGTTATCTGCAGTTCATCCAGAGTGATCATGGGCCTCTTGGCTGAATCTCTGATCAGTCTTCTCCTTGTTTGAGATGAAAGTTTGGAGGGACGGCCGGGTCTTGGTAGATTTGCAGTGGTCTGATACTCCTTCCATTTCAATATAATTGCTTGCACAGTGCTCCTTGAGATGTTTAAAGCTTGGGAAATCTTTTTGTATCCAAATCCGGCTTTAAACTTCTCCACAACAGTATCTCGGACCTGCCTGGTGTGTTCTTTTGTCTTCATGGTTCTCTCTGCGCTTTAAACAGAACCCTGAGACTATCAAAGAGCAGGTGCATTTATACGGAGACTTGATTACACACAGGTGCATTCTATTTATCATCATCAGTCATTTAGGACAACATTGGATCATTCAAAGATCCTCACTGAACTTCTGGACTGAGTTTGCTGCACTGAAAGTAAAGGGGCCGAATAATATTGCACGCCCCACTTTTCAGTTTTTTATTTGTTAAAAAAGTTTAAATTATCCAACAAATTTCATTCCACTTCACAATTGTGTCCCACTTGTTGTTGATTCATGACAAAAAATTTAAATTTTATATCTTTTTGTTTGTAACCTGAAATGTGGCGAAATGTTGAAAGGTTCAAGGGGGCCAAATACTTTCGCAAGGCACTGTAAATAAGTTTAATCACCTGGACATACATTTTCCCCAAGTAATGAATATTATCACTCACAAGCCAATATTCAATAGTTTAGTCTTATCAAATGCTTTAGCTAACTTTAGATATTTAATCTGTGCTTGGACCTTTTCTATTATTTTTCTAAATCAACAAGAACATACTCACTGTAAGAACAGTACTGGGCTACAACTTGGAAAGTAATTAGGCTTCTGTGTATACACACGCACACTCACACACACACACACACACATAGATACACCTTTACACAGACAAGATTCAGGAACACTCTCTGACCCTCACACTTCAGGTGAACAGAGCCCCATGGATATGCACTCACACCTTTGGCAGGCTGAAATTTTTTGAAACACTCTGATTCACACTGGCTCTCCAATCGAAAGTGAAACATTATTAAAACAGTTGGACAGATATTGGGTAGCTCTGTTGGATGATGAGATCCTTGGATCCATGTTGTATTAGATTAGCGTTGGTGTAATTACTGTATTTTTCAGTCTTTGGGCCAGATAAATGCCATAGCACCACTACTATATTTGCTGTTGGCAGAATGTGCTAGATATTGGTAAATAAAAATGTAATCCAAAAGACAACGTTTGTATTTGAAAGATTAGCTTTGAGCCAGTTGAAAAGGCCAGCGTCTATAGCATTTGATGATCAAAAACCTGGATTATTTTAAAGATGAAAGATTGATTGCATTCAGAAAGCAATTGACTGGTAAATGTTTCTTTGTCCATTGCAGAGCTACATGCAGCTGCTCCACCAGCACTCTTCCCTGGAGTACTCTCAGAGCCAGCTGAGTCTGCTGAGCCTTTGCAGAGAGCCAGGGCACCGCGGGGGCAGACCCGGGGAGCCACGCCTGGAGTGGAAAGTCAAAGTCAGGGCCGACGGCACAAGGTACGTCGCCCGAAGACCTGCACGCGACCGCATTCTGAGGGAGCGAGCACTGCGCATCAGAGAGGAGCGCAGTGGAGGCATGACCACGGACGACGACGCCATGAGCGAGATGAAGATGGGACGATACTGGAGCAAAGAGGAGCGCAAACAGCATTTAGCTCGAGCCAGGGAGCAGAGGAAGAGGCGGGAGTTCATGCAGAAGAGCAGACTGGAGTGTCTGAGGGAGGGGTCGGGGGGAAACGCCGAGGCCAGGAACCAAGTCAATATCCTCGAGCTCAGCCACAAGAAAATGCTGAAGAAGCGAAACAAGAAGATTCTGGATAACTGGATGACTATTCAGGAGCTAATGAGCCACGGAGCCAGAGTGCAGGAAGACTCCAAAGTACACAATGCCTTTCTCTCAGTCACAACAGTATAGCCCTTATGAATCCATCCCCCAAAAACCGCCTTTCAAAAATGACAGCTTTCAATTAGGGCTGCACGATACATCGAAAATATTGTCATTACGATAATAGCAAGTACAATATCCTTGAGCTTTCAGTTATGAATATGTAAATCATGCGTTTCTATCACACTTTTTCTAAGTTATTTGTTGGCCAATCACGGACGACCTTAGATACACACCTCTGAAAGTCCTGCTTTGTCATTGGCTAGAGCGAGTGCACAAACTCATGAAACACATGACCCTAACCCTAACTCTAACAACGCATAACAGGAGTGATCATTCTGTGCTGAACATAAAACGATGCGTACAGGTAAAAGATGTCTCACTCTGGTGATTCTACCCAAATCTCTATTTTTACTTTACAATGAACTTTACAATGAAAATAAATCAAAATCATTTAGCATGTATGAACTTATTTACTCCTTTTGTGACATAAGTGACAATGTATTTTATCCTTCAATGCAAACATTACATTGAGAAAAAATATATATTATTTGCCCATTGCAAACATAATTTCTTTGGGAAAAAGAACACATCGCAGTCATTGACACCACAAATACATATTGCACTTTTTTTCCATTGTCGTGCAGCTCTGCTTTCGTCCACTGCGAATGTGTTCAAATTCGACCTCAGCTTTGTACACTGTGGAGGGACTTTTCTCATACACTGTTTTTGACACTTTTGTAGCATGTTGGTTCAAATAAATTCAATGACAAACCAACTCTGTCATGTATGTGTGTATATGTCAGCATTTACTCTATCATACAGTATGTTGTATGTTTGTTTCATTGATATGAAGCAGCTTTTTTGCCTCGTTCAATGTGGCACTTTTTATAATGGGAAAAGTACAATATTTTTCACTATTTGTATTTATGGTGATGTTTTGTAAGGGCTTTTTTACTCTGAATGTGAATCTACTGGAAATATCTGGATGTAACTGTCTTATTTAAACAATTGTATGTCTTAAGGTGATATTGACTTATCACAGCATCTGAACCTTAGTAGCACTGATAATACAAATGCATACTCTATGAAGCCTTTCAAATCGAGGCTTGATTTTACCTGCCATATTTAAGGCTATGTCTCTGTAACACTTGAATTTATGTTATGCCCTTTCTGAATGTCCTGTCGTGTTTATAATGTTAAATACATTTTTATTTATTGTACATTCGATTCTTTCACCTTAACTCTACTGAAAATCCAAGCCCTGTTCAAATGTATAATATATTTGCTGCTTTTCTCCATATACACACTGAAGAGGCCTTGTCTTCAATATTTGTCAATGGTGAAATTTGTTTTCAAATAAATATGATTTCATATACTAAGATAATGTTCTGTCATTCCACTGATTATGGTAAAATGCAATAATGGAAAGTAATTTTCCAGTTCCATAGACATAGAACAACAGGTCACAACAAAATTCTTTCTATAGCCCTAAACCATTTCCCCCTAGGAGGGTGGTTAACAATATTATTGTATCTAAAATAGGTGTATAAGACTTTGCTCTTTAGCCTCCGAGGTTAAAGCTGTTGCATTAGAGAACACAATATGTTAGCTCAAAAACTATTGTTTATTACAAACAGCTCATGTTACATTACATTTGGGGCAGACAATTAACTCTTTGTAAAGTTATGAAGCAGATGACAGAAACAGATATAAGCCTTTGTTTATTAACTATTTAATGTCATAGCCACATAGTCGCATATAAAGTCAATATTCATATACGTTTTTGTTGTTTTTCCATTTGTCTTCTTCCCACTCCCTTTCAGCCAATTGTATTTTGATTTTTGTCACAGTTATGTATTTTTATATTTGAAAAACACTGTGTTGCGCCTGCGTTGCCTAAATACAGACAAACACGTTAAACGTTATTGACGTACAGCACGTCAATAAATAATGATTCGCGCAAACATAATATACACAGTATTTATTTAAAAATATCACAACACGTGCCCATTCAAGGCCTTTTTAGGAAGTAAAAGTTTGGAATCTTAATTACAGACAAGGTTGAAAAGTGAGTTGATGTAGAATCAAAATGACACGGCACTTGTCATCAAAAACAGCCTAAGGAATTTCAATTTGGAGAGACGAGAAACAAGAGCTTTTGAGTATTTTATTGGGAGGCGGTTTGGCGCCCTAGGCCCCGGTGCGGCCTTCAGATCGGAGGGGCTCTGCGATGGAGCGTGCCAATCCCCCGGGACCTAGGCACTGGTGGCGGCATTTGGCAGCGGGAAGCAGATTGAAAGCAGATTGAAGGCAGGGTGAAGAGGAGGAGGAGGGGAGGTGGTGGTTGCAGGCTTCGAGAAGGCAGAGAATGGGAGTTCCTCCGCTTTTAAGCGGCTGCCTGGCCGGACCGGTGATTGGAAGGGGGCGTTTGCTGTGCGATAGGCTGGGGATGAGAACCGGCCTGGAGGGGTTACCTTTGGCTGACGTATACCAAATTGAATTTCCGCTGGCTGCATTTCAATTTGGAGAGACGAGAAACAAGAGCTTTTGAGTATTTTATTGGGAGGAAGTTTGGCGCCCTAGGCCCCGGTGCGGCCTTCAGATCGGAGGGGCTCTGCGATGGAGCGTGCCAATCCCCAAAAAGGTTGTGAGTTGATGGAGTTTTGCAGCCTGGTTTGGAGGGGACAGACGTCAGGGCTACTCTATGCTGAGACCGCTCTCGCTATATACTGTGACCGCTATCGCTATATACTGTGACCGCTATCGCTATATACTGTGACCGCTATCGCTATATACTGTGACCGCTATCGCTATATGCTGATGACCATCGTGCGCTAACCATTTTTTGCTATATACTGTGACCGCTAACCATTTTTTGCTATATATTGTGACCGCTATCGCTATATACTGTGACCGCTATCGCTTATATACTGTGACCGCTATCGCTATATACTGTGACCGCTATCGCTATATACTGTGACCGCTATCACTATATACTGTGACCGCTATCTACTGTGACCAAACTTGCGGATACTCAGCTGCTGCCGCCACCAGACGCGTTGGGATGTGATCGGGTGTGAGAAATACCGGCTCCGTTGAGATCTCCTTTCCGAGCGCTGGGAGCGAGTGTAATGCTCGTGGGTTATTTTTGGCGCCTGGCCCCCACCCCCCCCCCCCCCCCCAAAAACATTGGATCGAGAGCGTTCGCATCACGTTCCGTCAGCGCTGCGGCCAGCGGAGATTGTTTGAGAAGTGCGTGCCGCCACCTGAATCTTATTGCTTCATCTTACTTTGCTTCGTATTGCTTTGCTGGCGAGCTTGCGAGGGAAGCCAGTAGGCGGTTGTTCCAGCCGGGTTGGCGGACGGTCTGGGTGATGTAGGCGGAGAACCGAAGAGGACAGCACCCAGCTTGTTGGAGAGGTGGGGGAGCCCCAGCGAGGCCGCGCGCGTGGCAGCGCCCTATCCTGAAGGAGGGCTGTATAGAGCTCGGGGAGTCAAATTGGCAGAGGAGCAGAGGGATCTTAGTGAGCTCTGACCAGGTTGCTGTCGTGGGAAGGTTGTGGAGAGATATGTGTCGAGCGATGTATTATTATGTTGCAGGCGCCTAGGTCTTTGAATGTTGAGACGAGTTGAATGGTCAGGGACATTATGTTGGGTCGAAAAGAGGGGACCTTTGTTGTAAGCTTCCACTACGTCGAGATTATCCGATGCAGAGATCCTTCTTTCTCTGCCACTGGTGATTCCACGGCGCGCAGGCCACGCCCATGGGATATCTCGTGTAGCGAGGGAGATTGCTCGGTGGAGTAGCGGCCACGGCCCGGCAACCCAATGGGTCCGGAAGAATCCCCCAAAACCCCACGGAAGGGGGCACGTCCTTGTAGAAACAGAGACCTGTAGGGCAGGAGACCATATCGGAGAGGGCCATGATGTTGCAGGCGCCCTTACGTCTTAGAATCTTGGGTCGGAGAGGTAGATAATCAGGATAGTAGGATGGTCGGGAAGCCGCGTCTCGGACCGCATGAAGGTTGAGTGAGCAATGTGAGAACGCTTATGCAGAGAAGCCACAGAAGTGAGAGAGCAGAAGATGCTGCGTGGAGGGCAGACATGTACTTGGAAGATGAGCCGGAGTTCAGCCGCCGCTGCAGGATGGGCAGCACGATGGGGAGCCTGCGATCAGAGAGTGAGACTACAGGTTTGGATGACTTTGATTAGGAGTCGATTGACGGCTCAGCGCAGCTACTCGGCCAGCTGCATCGGATAGATCAGAAAGATTAAGTAGAGAGATGGAAGCACGACCGCCGAAGCGACCATGGGAACTAGGTGCGAGTCCAGACGGCAGCGCTGGCGTACTCAGACGGGCAGCATCCATTTAGGTGCAGGATAAGCTTCTGAGAGAGGAGGGTTGCAGCAGTAGCAGTAGCAGCAGTATCTCAGATAATAACAGCGATATACCTGTATCGAGCCGCGGCAGCAGCTGCTGCGCGAGGTAGCAGCATCCTTCGAGATTAACAGTTATAATCCTGTATCAGCCACAGCAGTAGGATGTTGTCGTAGCTGACCAGTGTTTCTGTAAAAGAGATGCAAGTGAAGAGTATATGGGCAAGTAAATGAGCAGCAGCAGCAGCAGTAGCGGTAGGAAGCAGCAGCCGTGCAGTAGCGCAGTCGCAAGTATGGAGCAGCAGCAGCCGCCGCACGCGTCCGTAGCAATAACAGCAATAATGTCCTGTATCACAGCACAGCAGATAGAATATTGTTGTAGCTGTTCAGTGTTTTAGTAAAAGAGATGCCAGTGAAGAGAGATGGCATAAGATAATGATGCAGCAGCAGCAGTAGTAGCAGCGAGTAGCAGTATGAAGTCAGCAGCAGCGCCGTAGCAGTATGAAGCAGCAGCAGCAGCTGCAGCATCCGTAGACATAACAGCAATATCCTGGATCAAAGCCCACAGCAGTAGAATATGTTTTAGATGTTTAGTGTTCAGTAAAAGATGCGAAGTGAAGAGAGATGTTCAAAGACATGAAGCAGCAGCAGACGACAGCAGTAGCAGTATGAAAGCAGCGGGGACAGCATTAGAAGAGCAGCAGCACCACGATGCGATTCATACGAAACAAACAGACGTGTCACGCCACGCGTGCGGCCACTTGTCTCCGTGGAGCCAGGTTACTTCGTGTCTTGAAGGAAGCCGAGCCGTAGAGAAGGTGCCGCCTGGGAGCTGCGGAGCGGCAGCGGCTGGAACAGCAGCCAGCGGCAATGTAGAGGAGGGTAGCGCAGGGAGCCAGCGCAGGGGACAGACGCAGCAGGGGCGGCGGCAGAACAGGCAGCAGGACCAGGCATCAGCGGGATCAGGCTTTCGTAGGAACGGCAGCAGGGACGCAGCAGCGGCGGTCAGCGCGCTGAATGGTCAGGCTCCCCTTCTCCGCAGATGATGAATTTATTACGATCAATTTATATAGGTGACTTGCGATTAATGAGATTTAAGCTTGTAAGATGGCGCCGTGGCAGGCTCTGGTGGTGCCGTCTGGAGCACAGTGGGAAATACGTGTCTGACCTGCTGTGCCCTTACTCCTCCGGTCGCAACCTTAGGTCTTCGGGTCAGAACCTCCTTGCTGTCCCAAGGACCCACTTTAAAACCAGAGGTGACCTGTCCTTTGAAGCTGTTGCTCCTAAACTGTGGAATGCCCTTCCTTTGTCGCTACGTGTGACCGACACTGTCGATTCCTTTAAAAAACAGCTGAAGACATGGCTGTTTGGACGAGCTTTTAGTTGAAAAGGCTGTGATTGTTTTAATTAATTTGTTTTAATATTGCTCTGTAACTTTTATTGTTGTGCCCCTGTGAAGCACTTTGTGATTTTATCTGTGAAAGGTGCTATATAAATAAAGTTTCTTCTTCTTCTTCTTCAGTGTGGCGAATTTTGCTGCCACTGTTCTATACATTCTCTGCAGCCGATTAGGTTTTTGCAACAAAGAGTGAAGACAGGCTCCTCCATGAACTCTACAAAAGAAGAGAAATAACTTATTGTAACTGCTGTTGAGTGTGCATCAGGAACATACATTACATTACACTATAAAAATATATCAATAATTGTACAGTACTTACTCATGCATATCACACAGGAAAAACCTTCCTTTACGGTCTGCAATTGCGAAGGAATCAACATCCCTTTTTGTGCGCCTGAAACACTCATGAGCTCCTTCAATGAGTTAGTGATTTCTGGCAGATGGCTTGCAGCCGGAACTAACTCTTCCAACTTCTCTGCAACTTCACCAAGAGCTTCACCATCATCGTCTTTTCGACTAAAAAATTAAAAAAGAGTGTGGGGTTCTTTTATTAGCTCTCAATCTTGTACAAGCCTCTGTATCATTTGGCCAATTTAATGACCTCCTCCTCCTTCGCTTCCTCCTCTCTAGTTCTTGGTAATCACACTCCTTTACGGCAAAAATCTGGCGGGCATTTTGCTTCCAATACAGAGAACCTTTTAAAACAAGAAAATATGCAACTAATACTTTACTGAGAATAACATGGTAGAAATAAATTGTATAATAACAATACTAATATATATCCTACACAGTATAAACGTAGAAGAAAAAAAAAATCAAGGGAAGTCAACGAACCTCTGGTTCCCTCCGAGTCAAGTATCAAATTCCCTTGGGAATCAGTAAGACTGAGAGGCTGGTGGTCCCCTATAGCCTCTTGCATTTTCACAGTAATACCCTCAATATTTGCTTCAGCTTCAACAAATCTAATGACAACCATTCTTGTGGGGTTTAGACGGTTGTCTGAAACCTCAGCAAGGTACATTGATCTGAATAAAATAAAATAAAAAGAACATATTGTCAACTAATTATGAGATAGTCCAATTAAAAATGCATTGTTAAAGTGTTACCGTTGAAAGCCTTTAGAAGTAGGTCGAGAAGCGGTCACAGCTGTTGCACTTGCTGATCTTGAGAAAGAAAAGCGTGTGTTGGCGTTGGCTGGGGCAGTTGCAGCGGTAGGGACAGGAGCAGATATTACTTCTTCCACTCCATGAACTTCATAGTGGTTGTGGCCCAACAGGTCGACCGGACAAAATATCCCTGATGTCCCCGCAACCAACACCACGTTGTCCTCATTCGTTAGATACAGGCTTTGTCTGGAAACCTGCACCAAAATATATTTAAAAAATGTAATATTTATAATATAAATAATGTAACTGCAGTGTAGTCTTATACACAACTAAAAGTGGTCTGAATGACGCATGTAATAACGCTATCGTGAATTAGCCATAAACTCAGGCTAAGCGGAAATGGCATTGAAATTGTGTGTGTGGGGGCTAATTTTTGCAGTACTTACGCTGAATATCCGACTCAGGTTGTCTAAAGACATGTCGTCCTCCCTGAGACGGAGTCTTCTTTCGTTTTGAAAGACAACATATGTGTTCATTATGATTATACTAGTACAGAAATAAATACCGCTTCGATGCTGATGCTACCCGTCTCTTCTCGCTTGTGAACAATTGTGGTTTTAGGCGCGCGCTCTCCTTTTCTTCTTCCGTTTGTGCATTGCCAGCCTCGTCCTACCGCCACCTGCTGTACATTCAGGTATAACTGCATTACTACTATGCCATTGAATTGATCTTCAACACTACCTTAATTTGTATGTAACAATAAAAAAGTCAAATCTGCTTTTCTTCACAACAGTAAATGCTTGTTCAAAGTGTTCAATTTACCACTTTTTGTCTTTCAGAACATATTCAATGCTGACCATGTTGAATAAACAGGATTACACTAACACACAATTTCCAGCTTGATTTATTTTTGAAGGGTTATTCTAAATGATTTGTTGTTTGTCATTACCCTAAATCAGTGGTTCCCCTAAGAGTAGTACTCTTGAGTCATCTGGAATTGTACTTCACTCATTTTATTACTTAATTCACACTTTACTAATGCATATAAAAGTTGTTTTTTACATGATTTAGTCCAATGAAGACTTCATATCCAGGGAGCTCCTGACTCGATATTGGTCTAGAACTGGTGATAATTGAGTGAAAACTTGAGAATGACTGTCCTTTACTCAAGCAAGAGAAAAACTACTTTCAAATGATTTTACTCAGGTAGTCATCTAAATAATTATGCATGACTTTATGTAATTACATAATGCAACAAAACAATGTGAAAAAAAGTAAAATTTCAAATAAGCAGACCGTGATTAATACAACACAAAACTTTGATGACACATTTACAAGGGAACACTTATTTTTTCACAGGTGATTGAGTTTTTTTCAACACAAAAGTATCGTATCAAAATAATATTAAAGCATTTTGAGAAAACTATTGTAGCTAAGCACAATTTCACAACAGCATGCTTTTGATTAAATGTAACATAATACATTTAGTAATGATAATGAAATGATAATGAAATGAAAAACCTTGAGCACAATTATATGCCTTTCAAGAGTTGGTCACACAGTATTCTGTGTTTTGGATATGAGCAAAAGCAGTGCCTCTTTGAAAGGAGCGTAATCTTTGTTGACAACACTTGAGTACAAATTAGAAATATCTGGATAGGCCTCGGCAAACTGATGTTCTACTGAACGTTTATCTTCTTCATTAGTAAATGGGTCAACTCCAAAAATTGACTGTGTGGTCAATGCTGATCCCATGTGTTGCCGATAAAGGGCTTCTGCTTCATCTGCGTGTGGTAGGATAGTCGGCGGGATTCTTTTGGGACACCCAGTGACGGCTAAGTCCTCTGGCACCGCCCTTCCTGCCAAACAAAGTAAATATTTGTCTTAGTTAACTTAAATACTACTGTTAAGTAAACATATTCACATGATCACGTCAAACCTGGAATCCTATGGGAGTTCCAGGTTGTGACCAATCTTTCAAGACCAATTAGGCTCAACTGAACAGTTAGATTGGACACACAGTACTTCACCAGGCTGCTTTCCATGTCCAGTTCTTCTTGATCAATCAGCTGCACAAGGGCGGTCTTCAGAGGATAGTTAACAGATTGGTTGACTTCAGGCCAGATTCTTTCAACTATGTGATTCTGAAATACCAAAGATGATTTATCATTGTGTTCTGGTGACAATTATGGGAAATATTTCACTCATATTAAGTGACAAAGCAATACCTTTTACAACCTTATTAAGAGAAAAAGGTTTGGTTTCTTACACTTGTTTAAAGTAACAGCTAACCTTATGGATAAACATAGTGAAAACAAGAACTAGAGAAATGCACCCTTGTTGATGTAGTCTGAAGGTAAGGCTGCCTCTGTGTAATGAAGCTCTTCGCGAAAGTTCACTGTGGTAGACCCGGCCACTGCTGCCAGATCTACAAGCCTGCTCATCCTCTACTCATTACACCAGCAAAACGCCCACATCCAATCCACCAATAACCACCAGGACAGCAAGTTAAAAGCCGGAGACGCCCACTTCCCGGCCTTCTGAAGTCTGCAAACTTCTGAAGCCTGCAAGGTGCATGTCGCTAACGCACCTGTTCGCAAATGCATGCGTTGTTCTGGATCTGGAGGGGTCGCTTCTGCTCACGTGTTGCTCGTGCGCGTGGCCCGGCTGTCCTCAGTCTGGCTGCTCGTGGTCTGCTCCTCCTCCTCGTCCCTGCACCTGCTGTGGTTCGCATATCCCCACTGCTCTCCTCCTCTGCGGGCTCTTCTGCGGGCTGCTCCGCGGGGCCCCTCTGCAGGTTCTGTGCTGCTCGTTCCTCGTGGTCTGCTGCCGCGCGCAGACGGTCTGGCGGTGCCGTGCGTGTCCCTGCCTCCGACTGGCGGTGCCGCGTTGTCCCGTTGCTTTTCCCAAGTCTCCTGGCATGTGAGTACAGTGAGTGTGCCGACCGCGGACGGATTAATCCCGGAGTCTAGGCTGCAGGCGGCTGGTTTTTGCCCTACGCACTTGACTGCAGGCGTCAGTTTTCGCCCCGTGCTTGGTCTGCAGGCTCCGTTTTCACACGTGTTTGAGCTAACTGAGGGACAATGCATCTTAAATGGCATCAATCTCTATTGTCTGAGGGATATAAGAGGAGCAATGTGCATAATTCAGATTCATGTTCTGCCACTTGCAGTAAAACCACGTTGGAAATATGTGCAAAGACTACCCCATCGTGCTCCAGACGGCACACACAGAGCTCTTGCCACGGCGCCATCTTTACAGCATTAATCTCATTACTCACAGGTCACTATTGTTAAATGGATGTATTTAAATTCGTCTATCTGCAGGAGGAAGGAGGGGCCATGTATTTAAATAGCTAGGTCACTAGTATTAAATTGGGTAACTAAACTGCAGTTGTTGCATTTTGAAAGTGCAGCAGAAAGAAAAAGGGCCCAATGTGAATCTGCAATGGGTGTGAAGTGGTGTTGGAGCTAATGAACGCATGGAAAAGTGATCGTTCATGCGTCTCTGCCATAACCAAAGCAGAAGATGGCTCCAGGGGACATCTGTTATTCGCATGGGAATGTTTCGGATTCGGGTTGATTTATTTCCTCAGGCTCTTAAACAACCGTGGGCATGGTTCTCTGACCGCCGCTGCTGCGGTCCCTGCTGCCGTTCCTACTGATGCCTGATCCCGCTGCTGCCTGTTCCCGCTGCTGCCTGTCCCTGCTGCCTGTCCCTGCTGCCTGCTCCTGCTGCTCCTACTACTACAAGTCACGTGACGTGACTTCCTGTATCCGGTGAGCGTGTTTCTTGACTACTATCACTCTGCTCTCTGTTTGCACTAACAAACACATTACAAATCCACGTATTGTACACCAAGCTAACTGTGTAAGCACTCCGAGTCAGCTGTACTGCAGCTGAGGTTTAGGTAGCGGTTGTTTGTCTGGTCTCGGAGTCTGTTGTGCGGGCCCGGATCCGTACTAGCTTAGCCTAGCCTAGCCGCTAACTCGCTACTATGGCGGCTGCTGTCTCTCCCTCAATCCTTTACTGCTCGAGTTGCCATATGGCGAGTCTAAACCCTGGATCCTTCTCTGAGGGTAGTGATAGATGTGTGAAGTGTAGTGTAGTCGTAGCTCTGGAATCCCAGGGTCAGTGAGTTAGAGCTGCGTCTCCGAGCACTGGAGTCTCGAGCTAGCGCTAGCATTAGCTACAGCCAGGCCGTATCCTCAGGGACAGCGGAGCGCAGCTTTAGGGAAAGGCAGAGGAGAACTAGCGAGCCTAGCCTCCCAGCCCGTCCTCCGCAGCTGGGACAAGACCAGGATAGTGATGGCTTTGTGACTGTTCGGAGAGGGCCACGTGTTGTTGGTAGTTTCCCCATTGGGCCTCCTCCTGTTAGCATTTACAATCGCTGGGACGCTCTGGGCGGGGAAGAAGGCCCCACTGAGAGAGCCGCTGAGAGAGCTGCTGAGAGAGCCGATGGAGTCGCTGATGCGCTGGTAATTGGCTCCTCTATTGTTAGAGGTGTTAAGATCCCAGGAGCCACTGTTCGGTGCTTCCCTGGGGCCAGGCTTGGTGATATTGAAGGGAATCTGAGGCTCATGATGACCCACAAGCAGCGTTTCCGTCGAATTGTTATTCACGCGGGTGGTAATGACGTTCGGCGGAAACAGTCCGAGGTGTTGAAGCTGCAAGTCGCCGCCGTGTGCAAGCTGGCTAGCACAATGGCCGACACTGTCATCTTCTCTGGGCCCCTACCTAGCACTAGCAGTGCAGAAGCATTCAGCAGACACTCGGCTTTCAACCGCTGGCTGTCTGGCTGGTGCCCTCGAAG